TCTTCAAGCCTATTATAATGCTCACACTACTTTGAGTACGCATAATTTTTAAAATTTGTTCACTTGTTTCATCATTTACTCACATTAATGAGAACGGAAGATAATTGTGTTGAGATTCTCCTAAGCAATTTTAGTGTAAACGATTAGACGTATAGAATCAGACACTTCACGAATCAGACACTATTCACTAGATGATTTGACAATACAAATAAAAAAATACGCATTTATATTCCGAAAACTCCATAAATATTTATGATAGAAGAAAAGAAATGATGATATAAAAACGAAAAGAGAATATAAAAGAATAATAACGAGCACACATTATCGATATCGAGTATTATACAATATCGAATATGTAAAATAATAAATAGGTTTTTTTTCGTTTCGATTATCAAATCAGATATATCTGACGTAATGCCTATTCATTCAGGATAAATATAAATAGTTTTTTCGTATCGATGAATATATTCATACAAAATATTTCTATTCGATATCTAATCTTAGCACTCAATGTATACCTTTGAAAGAATTCCCTTAATTTCTATTACAAACATGTCTTCTTTCGTTTCCTTTTTTTGTAATACTCCTTTCATCGCAGCTCTCGTAATCTGTTTTATGCAACAGATTTCAATGATTTCTCATAAATTCTTTCATACCTTTGTTTCATACCTTTGTTTCTTATAATCTAAACATAGAAAAACAGTAACAACAACAATGATATAATTCTACAGTTAATATAGGATATAGCGTAGTAATTTAAACAAGTTAATGGAAATTTTGAAATTGTATAAAAGATTGAAGTTGCAGAGTGTGTTCATGCATACACACAAAGCATATACTGACTGTGTTCCAAAATTTACTGCCAGTGAAAATGTATAGTATACGTAAATCATAGATTTCAGCGCTGGCAGTGAATTTTGGAAACATATCTATATGCATCAATAATGTATGATCCGCATATTCGCCTGAATACATTATGCAATCTCAATCTTTTATACAATTTTAAAATTTCTGTTATCCAAATTATTGCGCTGTAAGCTAACTGTAACGTGAGTGTGTTATACTATTATAATTACAATATTAATTATAATATCGATGTTATAATAATTATAATATAATTGATGTTATAATAATTAATTGGTATATACTGATATCATAATTAATGATCGTAATCATAAATATAACTTTCTGACGTGTTGCGATAAAAAGAAACAGGAAGTTATGTTGGAATAAATAATAAAAATATTAAATTATAAATTATAAATAATAAATTTTAAAACAAATATTTAATTATTCAAGCATGTTGGAAGGACCCTTCTTAATTACGCATACTTTCATACGGTCTTTTTTGAATCTCCTTTTTTTGTAGCATTATCTCCATCTCAGCTCTTTTAATATCTTATTTCTTTCGTAAATTTTCTTTAATTTTTCGTATGTCATTTAACATTTCTATTGCAATTTTTTCATCGCACGTGCAATAAATGGCATTTATTTATAAACATTTCCGGATTTTACTCGAAATTTGTACAAATACAATACGAGATACGGTTCAGGTAGTGAGATTGCAATACGTGCCCAATTCTCGCCACGTTTACCAGTCTCGTTTCGTAAGACCAGTGTCTAGCAAGCCGATGTATTAACCGCATAATTAACGCATGAGGGATGCGGGCAAATACCTCCCCAGAAAGTGGATTGTCTCGCGTCGCGTCTATCAGCGTGATTTACGCACTTGATGTGACACAGACTATTGTTCACAGAATATTGTGGTTATGAAGGCCTCGTCGACATTAAACGCATGTTAAATACGAGAACACATAATACGAGAAGGCTGATCGTATTCGCAACAATCTCTTCTACCGGTTCCGTATTCGTCGCGTCGATCTTAGCAAATCGAAAACTTCGTGCAATCCGCTCCGTCTCTTGCGCGTGCCATGGAGATGCAGCAACTGAGGCATCAAATGAGATCCTCGAGACATTTTTGCCGAAGTGAAATGAGATGTGCGATACGCGTAATTTTATTATAGAAGGAAAATCGAAGAAAAAGATTATGGAAGAGATATCAGGAGTAAGATCCTGTCGCATTGCGGAAAAAGAAAAGGAATAACGTTGGAATAAATAATAAATATTAATGAGCGTGCATTTCTAGCATTCTGCAAGAGAACTTAGTTTATCCTTTTAGTTTTTCTTAATCAAGAACACGTTTCTTAATCAACCTCCTTTCTATTGCCCCTCCGTCTCGGTTTTTTTAAATCTATGAATTGGAAGTTGTAATTTATTTTTTGATCGTAGTTCACATCGAACGTTTCTTATCTTTTGGTAATTATTTTTAAACAGATTTCAAAAACAAATCATGATCAAATTATCCCCTTCTTCCCAATGTTTGCTTTATTCTATCAATAATTTTATTGACGATTTGTTAATGATTTGTTTAATTACCTAAAGCTTGATATGTTATGTGACTGCCGACCACATACAATAATAGGTTTACTATATTTGTTTGAATATTGTTTATCAATATAATACAGTTGTATGCTGGAGTATGACTCATTTCTTCTTATCTTACGTATATTTTATATATTCGTATTATATCGTATTTTAGATATCGTATCTATCACATTCTAATAGATTAGAAAAGTGAATAACATCTCTACCGATTCCATTCAACAGTTTTCTCTTATTCATAAATGTGATTTTATTGCATGTAACTTATTTTACAATTTAATATCAAATATTACATATTATAAGAGTAATCTCAATATGAAATGAAGCATCAAAAACATATTTTATAATTACTTTAATTACGTATGTATTTGTAACACGCAACACGATAATTAATTAATTAATTATAATTGCAGTAGTAAACCCATATATTTAAATAAAGTTCAAGATGCCGTTATATTACTGTCAGTCGTTGCAGTAGATGTCGACAAACTAGAGACAAAGTACTTTCTCATTATGCGTAAAATATTTCATTCTCACGTGAATTCTAAATTTTTTTGATAGCGAGTTGATAACATCTTGATGGCAAAATATACGTGTCAATTTGCCATTATGTTGCTGGCACGATACTATATATAAAACGCGAGTTTTATCGTGTGCCGTCATTTTGTCATTTTGCCAACATTTCGCATTATTAATTCTCAATATTTGATCTTGAAATTTCATAAACTAGTGATGTCTATTTACTCTCATATTGCTAACTCAGTTTGCACATAAGATTCCAATAGCAAATTTCAATTATCAAATTTCAATAACTCGTGCAGTATATTAATTTGCTAAATCACGCTTGGTTATCTGAGAATATTTTATGTTTATAGAGAATATTTTAGTTGTTTTTGGATCTTGTGTCATGTATTTTGTTCTGTGTGTTTTTGTTTGATATTTTGAATATGGTGTAAGCTTATTAAAAGTAAAAGTAAGAAATTGATTAATCAGTCGATCATTCTTCTCATATTCGCATATCATATATGAATATGCATTTCTTTACATGCATTTTTTGTATCGTCAAATTTTTTATTATTTTATTATTTACTAATTTTTCATTGTTATATCTTATTAATATTATAAATTTCAATTTTTCGCGAAATATGTAGAGTAAAATTATTTATTTAGAACAGCAATCAATTTATTATTAATACCATAAGTAAATTCTTTTTTAATTTAAATAATATAACTTAAATAATATTAAAACAATATGTGTCGCGAAGAAACATTCGATCGAAATTCTTATATGAATAATTAATAAAGGAATTTGTGAATACTTTTTTAAAATAATTTATCATTATCTTAAATTTTTTGATACGATTGCCTCGTGTATACCTATACGAACGTAGGTAATATTGTCTGCTGGCGATAATAATGGTGACAACAGAAAGTTTTCCCTTTCTTATCTATTTTTAATTGAAATATGATCAGACTATAGCCAGATGCGACTAAAGGTAAATCCAATCTGGACCGAAGAAAGAAGAAAAACATGACGGAAAGAATAACGTAAATGATCAATTTTGACGTAGAGTAATAAGGTAATGTTATACATTATCTTATTAGAAAATAGAGGAAAATTAATAATAAAGAAAATTGACAAGCAAATAAACAAATTAATTTATTTGTTTGTCAATTTTCTTTATATTTTCCTCTATTTTCTTATACATTAGGTGTAGTAAAAAGAAATCCATTATTTTTCCATTCAATTTCATGCAAAAATAATTTTTTTTTACTACACCTAATATATATGTATATGAAATTGGAAAGACCCCATTTAAATCCTAATCGCACGCATATAATTGAAACTCTAATTCATAAAATTATTGCTTGAATAGTTTTCAGATATTCCGCTGGATTAACCAACAAATCGATTCCCTTAATAAGTCGTGTCTCATGTCGCGCGCGATTTTAATTAAAGATTTTTTTTTTAAGTTAAAATACGGATAAGTAGGAAAATGAAAATATGGACAAAATATGGACAAGTAGGAATAGACTAAAGTACGGATAGAGAGGAATATAGTTAAGAATCCACATATTATAAAAATACAGCGGAAAGACCTAAACACATTGTTGGATCTTCTATTTAACGCAGTGATAACGCGTTAAGTATTTTCTCGCGATTTTCTGAAGATTCATAAAGTCTATTTTGCTGTTTAATCATATATATATCTTTAATAATATATAATTAATTCATATTAAATTATTTATAAATTGTCATTCTTTATTTTATTATTATCGCAATTATAAAAATAACAGATTATTGCTTAATATTATAGATTAAATTTAAAACAGACATATGAAATGATAAATTTAATATATCACTTCAATTGCATGAAATATCAACTTATATTATTTTAACTGAAGAAATATTCTTCTATAGTGCTATTAAAATTATTACTGTGATATCTACTTAAATAATACAGTAACTTAAATAAATCACGCATAATATTTTGTTTAAATATAAAAATCTCAATGGCAGTCGAATCTATACAGATCAATGCTTGATCTGTGCTTAATTACAGAGATTTAATGATTGATATGTACTATTATAAAATAGGTTCTTCGCTATGGTTAATATCTCTATAATTCTAATAATATTTCCAATTGAGAAACATAGCATATTATCTCTTCGTTAGATTTCTTCATTTCGCTTTCAATTTGCATTACATTTGTATGCAATTTGTATTACACGAACTTATGCAACTCGTTCATGAATTTATTTTCATGGATTGACTTATATGTAATGATACTCAGGTATTTCATTGTGATTATACTATGTTTCATTGATTAAGTACTGAAAAAGAAATTCCTTTTATTTTTATCGTAAAATATTTTATCGTACAAAGTATTTTTATTGAAAAATAATTGTGATAAATTGTTAAATCGAAACATTTTTATCTTGTGTATATTCTAAGAAATAATTCACATATTTCTCTACCTTTTGCAACAATAGTTACATTTCATCAAGATTATCAGTTGGAACACACAAACGAAGATAATTGCATACTTCTTCGGTAGATGAGTCTACAAGTAATAACCCTACAAGTCCTATGCTATACGTCTGCACAAAATTTGTACATACAATGTTCAAAGTACGTGGCAAACGATTACATAATTTATTCAATTCAACTTCAATGCTAGTCTGAAACATCAACATTATTATATCGAATAGATTGAATAATCAAATTTAACATAAATATTGTTAATATAATAAACAGTAGACTAATACCTTAGTTTTATCGCTTTTAATAACATTATAAATCTGCGATACTGCAAGCAAACAGAATGGACAATTTGGCTTATTTTTTATGCTAATGAAATTCTTAGGAATTTCTTCCCATATATTTACTAATGATTCCGATGGGCAAATACGTATCATAGAACAAACCTTAAATTACAAATCTTAAATAAATTATATTTTACTGGTTCATTGTTTTAAATACAAAAATATATTACCAGAGATGGATCGATATCCATAGCAAGTGTGGTCACAATTGCACCTCCATAAGTATTTACAACATTTTGACAATCATCTCTAATGAAAGTAGGTATTTTTATACACACTCTTCCAAGAAATTCTTTCACTTTTTCCTTAAATTTTGGTATATTTATGAAGCTTATATAATATTATATGCGCAGAATCATAAAATTTAATATTTATTACCTCATTTACATTTGTAATGTCTCCAAAATAAACAAATACTAGCAATAAATATTCGCACAATGTACACGTTTTCGTTTTATTAATATTTTCGGATTGCAAAGGATAAGGCAGTAATTCAAGTGGCAGTTGCATCATTTCAACTTCCGATGTTGACTGTTTTTTGAGAGAAATCTCTTTTCGAAGTTCTTCCTCCATCATACTCACTTTGGGATCAGTTGTGACCATTTCAGCTGTGGCTATTGAAAATTAAAGAATTGCATTCATGTAATTTTCAATTTTATAAGTTACCATTATAAAAATCTAGAGTTAAAAAAATTATTTTCAAAATAATAATCTTAATGTTAACAGGACACGTTCAGCAGACAAAACAGAGTTCAGTACTTCTTCAGAACGTTTAATGATTCTTTAATATAATTAGGCCTTGCCTTTAGTTTTTGTTGAGTTAAGTGTAAGAAATCAATTATGCAAATAAAGAATTATTGAGTGTTTACTGATCTGCTGTGCTGAAAGTGAATAATTTTTAATGTAGATAATGTTGGCTTGTTTAACAATCTGCTGTTTCATTGTTCATGTAATTTGTTGTACATGAACGAAAAATCCTGAGCTGGTACTAAGAGTTCAGAAAACTTTAACTTTATCTCATTTATAAGTTTTTATTTCTGCTACAATTAGTATATTTGTAGAAATATATCATTGACTCAACAATATAGAGTTTTGAAATATTATTTTGTAAAGAAATATCTTACTCATATTAGTTAATAATAAGCATTATTGTAGCATTAGCATATTATAAGTATAAGCTATTACCATTATTGTAATGTTACAATATTCCACTAACAACAATCGTATCATGACATTCTATCTAAATAAATTAAAAGTTCAAATCAATAGATTTATCCTGTTTATACAGTATTTTCAGTACATACAATAGTTTTGTCATGAGAATAAAAACAAATCTCGTGAATGTAAGAATAGAGAGCGAAACCGAAAGATAGCAATAATAAAAAAGAAAAAGGCTCGCGAGAAAGGAAGATTGAAAGGATTTCATAATAGAGAAATGAAAGAGAACCGATGAAATCTAAAGCCATTATACGTACTGGAAATTAAACATTGTATCCAAATAAAATTAAAAGGCTTGTAGATAAAACTAAACTTCGGTTACAAATAAAAACTAAGGTCAATAATTATAGACAATTCTTGTTTTAATCGCCTTAAGATACTACACATAGATAATACACACAACTCTGTAATGATTTATGACATCTTAAGATTATATTTAATTTTAAATATAAGAATCAACTATAAATGCCGGCTTAAATGTGGCTTGCAAATAAAATTAAACATTGCTTGCAAATAAAGATTTTAAATATTATCATAATATTTACAAGGTAAAGGTACAAATATTACATGCGTGTAACTGTCAAACAAAAAAAAATAATCTAGAAAGAAGTGCGCATCAGCGATTATCACAGATGTGACAAAGGCTGCGTTCTGAAAGTATGCTTTCAACGTTAATACATTCTATCATTAGACGTAAAAACAAGGATAGAACGCACTGATAGTGCTGCAATAAAAGCGCGCTCTTGAAACGCAGTCAAAAAGAAAGAATTATAACATAAGATAACTTAGAATATGTATATATATATATATAT